CTTTTGGGGCACTAATTTTAAGTCCCAAACCTCAATTTGAGTGGCCGATCTCGGCGGGGGACCCTTTCCCAAGATGTGGCCGCCACTAGACTCCTAAACTTGAATCCTAAATCCTAAATCCTAAATCCTAAATTCTGAATCCTAAATCCTAAATCCTAAATCCTAGATTCTAAACCCGAAATCCTATGTTATTTTATAGTGTAACCATGTAAGATAGCATAATATACGATAACACATCATAATGCAGTACAACATTAATGTACCTCTAACATAACCTAATATGATATGAGATGAGAGATAATGTTGTGAAGAATAAGAGGGTGGACTAGAATAGAACAGAGTATGATATCACATAATATGATGTATAGTAGAATATAGTACAGTATATCAGCCATGCCCGCCTGTGTTTCACAACGGGCACATCGACAATCTGCTCAACCTCCTGCACCACAGGAACCGACACCTGGCAGCCAGTGCAGAAAGAATCCAGAAACAAAAGGAACTTCCCGAGCAGCCTGGCATGGGCCAAAATCAAAGCTTTGTGAGATTTCCAGCTCCTTCAGACGGAGAAGTAACCCCTACAACGAGTCCCACTATCATCAACCTCACCCAAATCCTGCAAGGCCTTTTCAGGACAGACCTGGAAGGTGAGATCACTGAGTTTCGTGTCCTACACTACCCTCCAACATGGTAGTATGGAAGGCCACACATCGTTCGCCCCACTCCTATAGTCTATATTGGGGTCCTTTTGGGGGTTCCCAATATAGCACGGCACCCTTACAAAAAGGACCCTACAAGGGACCCTAATTTAGAGAACTATCCCTATAGGGGGTTTTGGGCCACGATTGTGGGCTGAGTATTTGGCTTCGGCTGTGCGAGGCTTTACGGCTTAAGGCCTTTTGGGGCTAGAAAGGGTGAAGGGTTAAGGGATTAGGGCTAGAAAGGCAGCTTCGTGTGTCGAGGACCGGTAAGCGATGTATGCTGTACATATACGGGGCTCCGACATTGCACAGAGAGGCCTAAAAATGAAACTACCGATTGCGAGTGAGTCCTGTCGAAATTGTTCAAACCTGCCGACGTAAACGTTAACCTAAAGCCTGACCCCAACCGTACACCCGAAGCCCGAAACCCTAAACCTATCCTAACCCGAAGCCCGGAAGACCAAAAAAGCCCTTAGATCCTAGAGCCCTGAACCATTAAAATCCTAAACCCCTAGTAAACCCTAAACCCCTAAGCCCTAAACCCCTCAAATGCTGGGCCTGCTTCTCAACGACCTTCTGGACCGGAACGTGCTGCACCATCACCTGGGGTCAAAGCAAGGACTCTTAGGTGCTTCAAGGGCAAGTAGGTCAAATTTGTAGGGGCCAAAGTGCTCTACCACGCTTCTAACAAGTTTTATAGTGGCTTTATTCTTTTGGTGTTGTAGTGACTTCTCCTCCTGGTTCAAGGTTTAGGGCTTAAGGGTTTTCAGCGATAAGGCTTTTGCAGGGCTTCAGGCGTTCAGCTTGAAGTGCAAGGCTTTCAGGTTTGAGGGTTCAGGCGCTTGGGGTTGAGGGATGATGCCGAGCTTAGTGTAAGGTTTATGGTGCAAAGCTTTGGGTGTAGGGCTCAGGGTTTGGGGGTTTAGCAGTGTAGCGCTTAAGGGTTTAGAGGGTTTAGCGGGTTCAGGGAACGCAGCTTCAATTTCGGCCTGCACAAAAAATGTCCAGCATAAGTTTCGGGGCATAGGGGTTAGGTGCAGTCCTCAGACGGGTCTTGATGCTCGAATAGCTACAACATGCTTCATGTTAAGCGCCTAATGGAGATGTCAATAATGGCCTGACTATTGACATCAGAACATGTTCCCTGAAACCCTAAACCCTGAACCCTTAGGGTTCACACCTCGAGCCCTGAACCCTTTAGAACTCAAACAGAAATCTAGACAGAGACCTTGAATTTTGGTCTTCAGGGTTTCAGGACCAACTCGCGCCGCCTCCGAACCTGGGGTCTAGGGATCTAGGTTTGGGGCTTGGAGGTTTTAGTGTTCAGGCTTAGGGGTTTTACGGCTCAAGGCTTCCGAAGCCCGCCTTCGGAATCTGCACGATGTCCTTCGGCGGTGGTCAAGCAGCATAGCAACTGCAATGCTTAGCTACCAAGTACCCCTCCAAGGTCCTGCAATTGATCTCGTACAATATCAAGGGTCATAATACAATATGACAAATAAAAACGTTATAATATTTTCCGTTATTGAATATATATATATATATACACACACATAGGTATGTATGTACATATGTGTGTATATATATATATATATGTGTGTGTGTGTGTATATATATATATACGCACACATATGTATGTATGTATGTACATGTGTATATATATATATATACATATATATGCGTGTGTATTTGTATATATATGTATATTTGTAACATATATATATATATGTGTGTGTGTGCCTATCTATCTATCTATCAAACTAACTATCTACCTATCTATCTATCTATCTGTCTATCTGTCTACCTATCTATCTATCTATCTATCGATCTATCTATCTACATATATGCATATATATCATCTGCCTTCGCTCTTTCGCCTTGGAAGTCTTGGGCCGGGGCCCAGGACTTGTACTCCAAGAACGAGGCTTTCAGGGTTGAGGGATGAAGCACAGGTCTATAATAGGTCCTAAAGGGAGTAGAGGCTAGAGGACTCTGGAGCTTGGGTTCCCAGAGGCTCCCTAAAGTGGCACTCAAAGCCATGGGGAGGGGCTCGGATGTGCCACAATTTAGGGGTTTAGGGCTTCAGGGCTTGCCGAGTGGAGCCTGATGCGTGCGCAATCAGCACTCGTGTAGAAAGTGCGGACCAGGGGTGCAGTGCAAACTAGCATGGTGCAACTCGGATGTCCACCTTGCCGGCCTAGATGACAGAAAGAATCACTCGGTAGTGGCTTCTGCAGTCTGCAGAGGTACAGGTGAAGAAGGAGATAGGCATACTCGGTGTCCTCCTGCACGATGGGCTTCTTGCGCTGGACCACCTTGTGAACCTCAGCATGGCGGCAACCTTCACAAGCATCAGAATACCTGTTGATCGCCTGTCATTTCTCAAGCAGCTGCTGGCTGTAACTGCTCCGACTGTGCCCTGTGTCCTGCAACAAGGAAACCCAATCCGCCCCATCGGCCAGCTTGGTGCGGCACCACCACCGGCTTCACGACTTCCACCGTTTCCACGGTGTTTTGAACCACGGTGTCCACCACTGTGTTCAGCACCTTGCTACCAGCAGCCGCTTCACAATAAATGATGGCGATGGTGATGCTAACAAAGAAAGATGATGGTGATGGCGGTGATGGCGGCGATGAAAATGGCGGCGATGGTGGTGATGACAGTGGTGGTGACAGTGCGATGGTGGCAGCAGTGACGATGATGATGATGATGGTGATGATCACCATCATCATCATGATAATGCCGACTGCTCTTGTTAACTATTCTTGCGGAAGCTCGGCTGTCTCCGTTGCACTGTTGTCAATGCGAAGGCTTTGGCCGGCCGGAGAGGTTCGGACCAGGATAATAGGGGCCGTGATGCTCGCAGAACTCCAAAGGTTGGGCCTTTAGGGGGGAGGTTCAGAAGCCTGTACCGTTGGAAGAAAGCTACAACTCCTTCCCGTCAACGCAGGGGCCTTCAAATTCTGGGTTTGGTGTAAATTCTAGAACAATGAAAAACAAACTGGTAATTATTCCAGACTTTATTAGCCTTTCCTGCCCATAGTTGAGGGCTCATTGGCTCGGACCCGGTGGTGGCGCTACCAGTGTGCAGAACTTAGGATGCTCCAGCTGAGCTTGTTAGTATGTTTTAGTTCAAAAGCCGTGGGGCCCAAACTGTTGTTCCTGGGCTTAATAGGGTCACTGCTACCATTTCAAAGCTCCCCCTAATCCACCAACTATCGGCCCGAAAACCCTTCAGGTTGTTTTCTTTTGGGGGGTTCTAGGATCGAGCGGCCTCAAGCCCCGAAACCATAATCCCAAAGAAGCGTTGAAACCCTGAACTCTCAGTACCCAATCAAAGACCCCGAACCCCAGAGTGCCGCCGCGTGGCCTTCGGCACCTTGATCACCTTCTCCTCGACGTGCACTGTGGGCACCTTTCGGTGAGGATCTTCAGGATCCGAGTTGCAGGTAGGGGTTCCTTTAAGGGGCTACTGACATGAGATCTACTATAAGAGCTACCCTGGGGGCTACGAATACTCTCAGGACGTTTGGGGTTTAGGGCTTGGGGCTTAGGGTCCTACAAGGTTTAGGGGTTCAAGGATTTGTTTCTAGTTCCTGTTCGCCACAAAGGGCTTGTGAAGTCGGGTTCTTGCAGAGGCGTTGTTGGCAGTTTGTGTCTCAGACCGTTCCAAGAAGAACCATGGCCCCCAAATCCAACACGCGACCAAACCCGAAACCCCAAACCGTCAACCCCAAGCCCTGAACCCTAAACCCCAAACCGTTGGAACAATCGTCGAGTAATGCCCTGAAGCTTCAAAAATCGTGCCTGGACCGTCTTCTCGATGACCACCGGACGAGGCACTTCGACCTCATGACGGTATGCAATCGGGCACAGGCTGGTGGTTTTGGGTTAGGCGTAGCGTACGAAAGGTTTCTGTCAAGGGCTCTATTCGTTGACCTCTACCTGCCTGCTGATGATGCTGCTGCTACGACTACAGCTACGATTGCGACGACGACTACGACTACCACTACGACTGCTACTACCAATACTACTACTACTACTACTACCCCCACCACCACCAACACCACAACTACTACTACCACTGCTACGGCTACTACGACTACTACGACTAGTACTACTACTAC